TACTCAGAGGTTGAGCTTGAAAGAAGGAAGATGGCGGTTGGGAGTTACAATAATACTGGTAACTATTGTCTATGTGGCACCCATGAAAAACCAGTCACCTTTTAAACATTGACTTATTAAACTTAGGATAGGAGCTATTACCTCTATTTCAAGAAATGGATGTAGAGCCAGAGTCAACTATCATATTCAAGGACAACTTGAAGATAAACACTTTAAAATGAGTTTGGTTACACTGGTTTTGTGTGTGTGTGTGTGTGTGTGTGTGTGGTACTGGGGCTTGAACTCAGGGCCTACACCGTGAGCCACTCCACCAGCCCTGGATATTTTCCAGATAGGATCTCTCAGACTATTTCCGCAGGCTAGCCTCAAACTTTGATCCTCCTGATCTCTGCCTCCTGGGTAGCTAGGATTGCAGGCATGAGCCACTGGTGCCAGTTGGTTACACTGTTTTCTAACCAAAACTCTCCAGAACCCCTGAGTAGGGCCCTTGTACATACAATCCTGTAAAAACTAGCACTCATGATTTATATATGCCCATTCACAGACAGAAACAAATCTGAGTGTGGTGATTCGAATCTATAATCCCAGAACTTGGGAGGCTGAAACAGGAGGACCGGGAGTTTGAGGCCAGCCTGGGCAAACTTAACAACACGTTTGTCTCAAAAAAAAAAAAAATAATAATTGCTGGGTAGGGTACCAGTGGCTCACATCTGTAATCTCAGCTACTCAGGAGGCAGCAATCAGGAGGATTGAGGTTTGAAGCCAGCCTGGGCAAATAGTTTGTGAAACTCTACCTTAGAAATACCTAAACAAACAAACAAACAAACAAAAAAAAACCCAACACAAAAAAGCCCTGGGAAGTGACAAGTGGTAGAGTGCCTGTCTAGCAAGCTTGAAGCCCTAAGTTCAAACCTTAGTGCCACCAAAAAAAAAAGAAAAAGAAAAAAACAGTCCAGGCCTATGATTCTAGCTACTCTCTGTGAGAAACACAGCCCCTGTCCAAACTCAAGAATGGACACAGAGACACGTGAAGTACAGTGAAAATAAGACTTTAATGGTGGTCCTGCAAGATCAGGTGTCTGGCTGGCAGGTATACCCAAAGCAGTTATGACAAGCATTTTATTCTCCAGTGTGCAAGCCCTTCCCCCAGATCCTCATTGGCTGAGTACTATGGGGTGTCCAATTTTTCCCAGATGTCACCCAAGTTTTATTATCTTATGTTGGGTTGTTTTAAAATATGTTTGTCTTAGAATTGGTCAAATTTTAGAAGCGGGCTTTTAGTTGTCCTCACCTCCCTTTGTGTCTTTATAGTGGGAAGGCCTCCCTGTGATATATGCTTTTTGGCACATACATAGTTTTAACGCATTTTCTCATTTTCTCATGGCTTCTCCCCAAGTTGTTTGTGACTTTCCAGGTGAATGCAAACATGCTCCCAGTAATTTTCCATTCAGGTTTAAATGCTCGGTCTTGAAAACAGACCACCACTGACTTGATCCCCAACACTGCAGAGGTAGAGACCAAGAGGAAGGAGCCCCTGGGGTGGGGGGTGGGGGGGACTTCTCGAGACTCCCATCTCAACCAAGAGCTGGGCATGGTGACAAGTACCTGTAATCACAGCTACTTAAAGAAGCTTAAGTATGAGGGTTGTAGTTTTGCTGGCCCTGGACATAAAACAAGACCCTATCTCTGAAATAACCAGAGTAAAAAGGGCTGGGGACATGGCTCAAGCAATAAAGCATTCACTTAGCAAGAGTGAGGCCCTAATTTCACCTTCCAGTACCTCCCCCTAACCCCCCAAACAGAAGGAAAGAAAAACAGTCTGTTCTGTGCTGAGGAAACCCAGGGCCTTGTACTTACCAGGCAGCCACAGACCCACCCTGTCCAGCCCTAGTGCTTCTTCTTGTCATGTTTTTTGAGCTTCTTCACAACATAGAGATGGCCTCAGGGCAGTGGGATTGCATGTCTAAACTCAGGGCTCCAGCTTAAATGGTGCATCCATTTATATTTAATTTCACAAGGGAAACCAGAAATTTCCTCTCCAAGGGCTGCTTTGCCTTTCTCCTTGGCTTAAGAGTAAGCGCAAGGCCCGGTGCTGGTGGCTCACACCTGTAATCCTAGCTACTCAGGAGGCAGAGATCAGGAGGATTGAGGTTTGAAGCGAGTTCTGGGCAAATAGTTCAGGAGACCCTATCTTGAAAAAAAATCACAAAAAAGTGCTGGTGGAGTGGCTCAAGGTGTAGGCCCTGAGTTCAAATCCCAGTACTAGAAATAAAAGAGTAAGCACAAAAAAAGGAATATAATAGTACTATTATTATTATTATAAACAAAATAACAATAAACTTCAAAAGAGAGAAACCAAAGAATATGACAGACATGTTGAAAATGCACATTGCTCCCAGGATCAAGACCTAATTCGCAGTGCTGGGCATGGTGCTACCCAGATGTAATCACAGTGATGTGGGAGGTGAAAACAGAATAGAAAGTTGGAGGCCAGCCTGGGCAAAGTTAGGGAGCCCTTCTTTCAAACACAAAATATAAATAAAAGGGTTATAGACTTTGCCGTTCCCAAATAGTGATCAATGAAACACGTGGGAGTCGCTCAGCAAGGCAAAAAGAAAGGTTTCACTTCTGCAGAAGGCTGCAGCCACGGACCGTGGTCTGATAGGCAGGACACACTGAGGGGGAGTCAGCTGTTTTTCTCTCTTTGCCCCTCACCATGATGGACGGGTTTGGATTCACAGTCTTCCCAACTGGTTACTTAGAAAAGGGGGCACATGAAGTTAGGGAACCTTGAAGCAGGGAGAACAAGAAAATTCTTTTGGGCTATATTCATCTTTAAGCAAGCAGTTTGAGATTAGGGCATCTGGGGATAAACAGCTCTTTGACTGCAAGAACCATGCAAGGTCAAGCAATGTTTTACAAAGCATGTAGGCAGCAATTTGGGGAGGTTAGCTGGTGTCCACACGATGATAGTTTTACATTAACTCCTTTGACACAAAAGACCTGACTTTAGTTGATTCTCGCAGTATAAAGGAGAAAAAAGTGGGTGGGGGAGGAAGAGGAGAAGAGGAGCAGAGAGGAGGAGGAGGAGGGAGGAGGACAGAAGAGGAAGACAGGAGGAGGAGAAGGAGGAGGAAGAAAGAGGTGGAGGAAAAAAGAGGAGGAGGAAGAGAGAAGAGAAGGAGAGGGCAGGAGGAGGGGGAGAACTAATTCTTAGAAGTTTCTCTTGGCTCCTGTGTGTCCTGTCTCTTGCAGGTAGCTGCCCAGTGACACTCTGAAGCCTGTTTTGTAGATTAACCAGGCATTAACTCGAGCCCTCCTTTCCCTGAGCACTGCCTGGTCCCAAGTTATGGGAAATGGTCACTCATGAAAGGGTGCTTGCCAAAAATGTTGACCACAACAAAACCAGCCACAATTCACTTTCATCAACACAGAAACTTTGATCATTCATGTCTTCCTTACATCTGCCAGGCTGGAACTCTCATGGACTTACATGAACAGATAAAATGTCCACAGCCAGGCCTGGCAGAGTGACTCAAGTGGTAGAATGCCTGCTTAGCAACATGAAGCCCTGAGTCCAAACCCCAGTACCACCAAAAAAAAAAAAAAAAAAGAAAGAAAATTGGTTTGTCAGGCACCGGTGGCTCGAGCCTGTAATCCTAGCTACTCAAGAGGCAGAGAACAGGAGGATCTCGGTTTGAAGCCAGCCTGGGCAAATAGTTTGTGAGACCCTATCTTGAAAAGCCCTTCACAAAAAAGGGCTGGTGGAGTGACTCAATGTGTAGGCCCTGAGTTCAAACCCCAATACTTACCGCAAAAAAAAAAAAAAAGTCCACAGCCCACGTTCAAGATCCTACTTTTTTTTTTTTCCTATGCTGGGGTTTGAACTCAGTCTTAGCCTTGCCACTTAAGCCTCGCCCACCCAGCCTCTTGGTATGATTTTAAGTATGGGGAGGAACCATGTGCATGTCTGTAATCCCAGCTACTCAGGAGGGGGAGGTAGGAGGATTTACAGTTTCAGGCCAGCCCAGGCAGTTAGAAGACCCTGTCGCAAAAACAGTGTACAAAACAAAGGTCTGGTAGTGGAGGGAGAGGGTTGTTGTGGCTCAAGTGGTAGAATCCCTGGGTTCCATCCCCAGCACTGCAAAATAAATGCACAAATAAAAAATTTTTTAAAAAGTGTACTGGAGGGGTTGGGGACGTGGCTCAGTGATAGAGAGCTTGCCTAACATGCAAAGCCCTGAGTTGGATCCCCAGAACTACAGAAATAAGTTCTCACAATATATGGTAGAGGAATTCACCCCCACCATCATTCTCCTTTATTCCCCCTCCCCCCATTCCCGGAACAGTTTCAACAACTCAGTGTTCCATTTTATAAAGGTACCTGAGCAACTAGATTTTGCTATTTGCAGAGCGTTCTGGAACCAATCCCTCATCCCAAAGGGCTGTGTATTTTTCTTTAGGTTTTCTTTAGTAGATGGTAAACTCCTTGCATGGAGGCCTTCCTCTAGTTTTATTTATTTTTTGCGGTACTGGGGTTTGAACTCAGGGTCTACACCTTGAGCGACTCCGCCAGCCTTTTGGGTTTTTATCCGAGATTGGGTTGTTTTTTTTTTTTTTTTTTTTTGCTGGCTTGTAACCAGTATCCTCCTGATTGCGGCCTCTTGAGTAGCTAGGATTACAAGCGTAAACCACCGGTGCCCGGCCCGTTTATTTTATTCACAGCTTTAATTTCACCACACCTCCAACGCTGGGCTCTCAGTAGGAACCTTCTATATGTGCAGAACTGATTAGCCACATAAAAACCACGTGGACATCCACATACGCGCGCCACTTTTTTTATTCTGCCAGGATGGACGGAGGCCTTCCTCACGTGACAGGTAGTGGGCGTGACGCTCGGAGGGGGGGGTGGGTCTCTGGAGTCCACGTGGTCCCGGGCTCCGCCTAGGACCTACTGCGCGGGCGCGCCCCACCGCGCAGGCGCAAACTCGGCCCGGTGCGAGTCCAACGACTGTTGGCGGCGCGCTTGGGTGGCGGGCAGTTGGCGTGAGCTGCACCTTAGCTCGAGTCGGCGCCATGGTGGAGAAGGAGGAGGCTGGTGGCGGCATCAGCGAGGAGGAAGCGGCGCAGTATGACCGGCAGATCCGTCTGTGGGGATTGGACGCTCAGAAACGGTCAGGGCCGGCGCAGCTTGAGGCGCGGACGATCTGGAGGGGGCGTCTGGTTGATCCCCGGCGTTCTGGGCCCCGAGGGAGCGGGAAGGTCTGATTTGAAGAGGGGGCGGGATTTCCGTTTGCTAGCGCTTCCGAGAGCACGGATTAGGGGTGGTTCTGGAAGGTGTGGGAGGTGGGGACGCCAATGGGTGGCGGGGCGAGGGCACGGTGGCCAATTGAATGGGGCGTCCTGAGGGCGCAGAGGGTTGGGACACGGGTAATCGGGCGCCCGGATAGGGTGATGGGGTTTAGGTCGCGGGTGGGGACTTCATGGGATCCTAGTATGTTGGGGAGGTGGGGATGCATAGTTCATTCATTCCTAGTTGGTGAGAACCTGTTGTGTGACGGACACTGGGTGGACTTTGCAAAACCAGGGCGGTTACATTCTTGTACGGGCTACCGAAGGGCGGGCGGGCCGAAAGAAGGCGGGCTTGGAGGAGTTTGGGAGGCTTGGGGTGTCGCAGGGGCTAGGGATCCCGAAGGAAAAGGTATTAGTTGGTTCTAGGGCGGACGGGAGACGTTGGTTGGCTGTTGCGGAGTAAAGATTACCAAAGGGAAATGAGGTCGCTTCAAAAGGTGATCGAGTCAGTCAAATACTTGTTTGGCGGTATGGTGTTTTGAACTCAGGGTTTTGCTCTTGCAAAGCAGGTGCTCCACCGTTTAAGCACACTTCCAGTCCATTTTGCTCTGTTTATTTGGGAGATGGTGGTAACTTGCACTGTTTGCCTGGGCTGTCCTCTAACTGCGATCCTCCGGATCTCAGCCTCCCAATGGAATGGTGAGCCCTGGTCCCCGCTTTTTTTTTTTTTCCCTCCTTGAGACAGTCTTATGTAACCCGGCTGGCCTGGAGCTTGCAATCCTCCTGACTTCTGGAATTACAGGCGTCCACCTCCACGCCAGGCTTCAGATACTTATTGGGTACTTGATAGAGGCACTGTACTAGTCACTGATCAGTGAACTGAGCAGGCTCTTTCCCACTTGGAGCTCAGGTTCTGATGGGGGAGACAATAAACAGATAATACAATGGCAGCGAATGTGATTCCTAGTGAGAAAAGGCCAGGATAGTGACTGATGACTAAGGAGGGCTACGTGGAAGGGTCATTTTGATTGTGTGGCCACAGGAGGCCTCTGAGGAGGTGCTACTGAGCCTTAGATTTCCATGAGGTGAAGGAGCCATGCAGCTATCCGGGAGAACCTTCCTAGCAAAGAGACAGCAAATGCCAAATCCCGAGGGCCAAACACGTGGCAGAGAAGAAAAGTAGGATGGTTGCAGCCCAGTGAGTTGAGTAGCGCGTCTTCTGAGAACTTGGGAAAGCCACTGGAGTGTGGAGAAACCTGACCTATATTTTCAAAGAATCATTCTTTCTGTGTGGAAGTAAAAGTGGAAAGTAAAAAGCGGAAGTAAAGATTCCAGGTGAACCTGGTATAGTGCTCCATATCTGTAATGCCAGTGCACAGGAGGCTGAAGCGGGATTGCCAATTTCAGGCCAGCCTGGGCGGCTGCCTAGTGAGAGCCTGTCCCACAATGAACAAAACAACCCACCCAGAAAAAGAAAAAAAAAAAGATTCCTGGTGACTGTTGAGTGTCCAGTAGAGACAGATAATGGTGCTTGAAACTAGAGAAGGGTCAGGTAATATTCAGGATATATTTTGGAGGTAGAGAGGCTAGGGTTGGCTGAAAGTATGAGAGGCAGAAGTCAAGGATGACCCCAGGAAATCATGGAATTTCCATTTACTGAGATGGAGGCCAGGGTAGAATCAGTTTCTGGATTTTTTTTTTTTGCAGTACTGGGACTTGAACTCAGGGCCTTCACCTTGAGCCATTCCTCTAGTCATTTTTTGTGAAGGGTTTTTTCTAGATAGGGTCTCGTGAACTATTTGCCCAGTCTGGCTTCGAACCACAATTCTGATCTCTGCCTCCTGAGTAGCTAGGATTACAGGTGTGAGCTACTGTCACCCAGCTGTATTTTATTTTTCAACCAGGGTCTCCCTGTGTAGCTCAGGCTAGCCTTGAACTGTTGGTCCTCCTGAGCTCTGGATTGCAGATGTGGCTTGGAAGGGGCTATCATTTATATTCTCTGTACTTGTAGGTGGTCTTACAGAGTTTCACGTGTCTTCATGTTCATTTTCAACTGTCTTGTAGCGGCTCCTGGTGGCTCTCCAAGGCCATTGCCTTGCCTTTAAGATGGCTTGAGGAGGCAGGATAGAACTCTGTGGTGGGGCTGGAATGCCTTTGTCAAATGTCCAGAATGTGGGATATTTTATAAGTCAACTTCCCCTGTTCTCTTCCCAAAGTCAATGTCATGGAACAAACCAATGAAGAGATTCTTGTGGATTAAAGGAGAGTAGAGGTATGACAGCCAAATGTAGCACATGAGCCTTGGCTGCATCTTGCTTCAACAGAGAACTGAGCCAGGTGCCAGTGGCCCACCCTGTAATCCTAGCTACTCAGGAGGCAGAGATCAGCAGGATCCTGGTTCGAAGACGTCCCAGGCAAATAGTTCACGAGACCCTATCTTGAAAAACCCATCACAAAAAAGGGCTGGTGGAGTGGCTCAAGGTGTGGGCCCTGAGTTCAAGCCCCAGTACTGCAAAAACAAAATGAGAGACCTGAGATTGGAAACAAAAGCAGTAGGGGAGGTTTGAACATTGAGCCCCGTTAGATGACATTAGTAACTAGTTTCTGCACATAATCACGGTGGGTTATGAAGAAGAGCACCCTCTTTTTGGAGATACATGTCAAAGGTGTGATTTATCTGTATGTTGGTATACAGATAAGTTGATCAGTCAGCTCTTCTGCATATTGGAATTTTTTTATGATAAGTTGGGAGATAAGTGGCCTCAAAATTGGGAGATTTCAGTTTCTCACTTCAGGCTGCTCTTGAAAAATCAAAAGGTCAGCCATCTGCATTGGTTGGAACCGTGTAGAGGCTCTGCTCCTTTGCTCTCCCAGTTTGTGGACAGCTCCATCAGCTCAGCCTCCCCTGTTACATGTGCCCAGCCTGTGTGTTTGGGGTGTTGCCATGGTGCGTGGCCCACCCTATTTTACTGATGATTCAAGGAAGGGAGCCAGCTTCCCAAGGTCACAAACTGAGTAAAGAAGAACCAGGGAATAGAGTCACTGCTATTTGCATGACAGTTCCATGCTCACAGTAGGGCAAGCTGGCGGCTGTGCATCTCCAGTGTTTGCCTTGCCTGTCTTTTCTTCCTGAACCCAAGAGTAATCTGCCCCACATGTGAGAATGAGGAACAGAGGTGGCTGGAAGAGGGAGGTGTATTATAAACATTGAGGGCAAGCCCTTTACAAGTGTCCAGTCAGGATCGTGAGACTTTTCTTCTGCGTGACGTTTCCAGTGCTTACAGGTGCACAGACAGTGGATTTTGTGTGTGCGTGCGTGCGTGTGTGCGTGCGTGCGTGTGTGTTACTGGGCTTTGAACTTGGTGCCTATACCTTGAGCCACTCTACCAGCCCTTTTTTGTGATTTTTTTTTTTCCCCTCTGAGATAGGGTCTTGCAAACTATTTGCCCAGACTGGCTTCGAACCGAGATCCTGCTGATCTCTGTCTCCTGAGTAGCTATGATTATAGGCAGGAGCCACTGGTGCCCGGCTGACAGTTGGATTTTTGTTGAGTGAATGAGATGACACAGTAAATTGTAAAACCTACAAATCAGAAAACTTCTAGGTTCTAGGTTTAATTCCCCAGTTCTTCTGTTTTTCCCTCCCCAACTCTGGTGATGCTGGGGATCAAACCCAGGGCTTCATGCCTGCTAGGCAGGTGCTCTGCCACTAGGTTACATCCCAGCCCTTCAGTTCCAGCTGTTCTAACAGAGCTCTTGGACTTGAGCTGAGTTCTTGGCCTTCACTTCCACTTCTGCAGAAGGGAGCAGTGAGTGTGAGTAAGTCGTAAGGACTATTTCACTTCAGAGATTTTTTTTACAGAAATGGCACTACAGAAGCTTCTCTGTGTTCCAGATATTCCATACCTGCCATCATGCTGTTGAAAAGGACTTCATTTGGTTCCTTAGACTGTGTATTTGTCATGGAAGCGACAGCTTATATGCGGACAGGCAGGCAATCCTAGGTGTTTTGTGTAAGGACCAATTTATTGTAGTGGTTAATACTTGTGTTTGAGGGCTGGGATGTAGCTCAGTGGTGACCACTTGCCTAGCCTTAGGTTCAAATCCCAGTACTGCTGGAGGGGGGGAGTTGAGTTTGAATCTCAGTTGAGTTTGAATCTCAGTTCTCTGTGAGCATTAGTTTCCTCCCTTGTCAAGTGGAGATGCTAGAATCTACCTTAGAAGCCTGTGGGCAAGTGAATGTACCATTGCTACACTTGGAAGGCACCAGGAGAGCACAGCTATGATTACTTGACAAGGAAACATCACCAGCAACAACAGAAGGCAAGCTATTCCAGACAGGAAACAGGCTGAGAACTGGAGACGGAAAGCAGGAGGCAGTGGAGAGTTGAGCCATTTAGGTCCCCAAAATGTTTGAGGAACAAGTCACAAAAATTTAGGAAACTGTCATTTTAAAATTTATTTATTTATTTATTTGGCAGTGCTGGAATCAATTTTGGGGCCTCACACTTGGTAGGCACATGCTGAAATACTAGGTACACCCTAACCCCAGAAGACCTTTTCCTTCTCTTTCGTTTTTTTGGACTGGACCTTGAACTCAGGGCCTCATGCCTGCGTTTTACCACCTGAGCCACTCTGCCAGACTTTTTTTTTTTTTTTTTTTTCTTTTGAAGCAGGATTTTACCTTGTAGCCCAGGCTGGTCTTGAATTCTCTATCCTCCTCCTCCTTCCTGCCATGTGCTGGGATTATACCATGCCCAGCTAAAAGTGTCTTCTGTTTTTTTCTTTTTTTGCAGTACTGTGGCTTGAATTCAGGGCCTATACTTTGAGCCACTCCACCAGCCCTTTTTTGTGATGGGTGTTTTCAAGACAGGGTCTTGTGA